TACTATTTTGTCTGCTGAGGGGCTCGAACCCGCGCCACACAATGTTAGGTCCAGAAGGATTGACCACTCGACCCACGCCACCGGGTATGGTGACTGGCTCAAGTGGCTTGGCATCGTGATGCTAAACTGAAAGTTGTGAGTTCAATTTCCACTAAGGATGGTTGTTAGTGCGAGCTCAACTTTTATTGTTGAAACTGCATATGTCTGCATATTAAAGTGTGTACTTATTGTAGGTTCGCGCAAAGACTGAGTTAGAGTGTTCCACATACCTTAGGATGGATTGGTAGCTTTAAACTTAGATTTAGTATATTGTGTGGCCCGCAAGGCAGTTGCGCGTGGGTCCACACAATTGTGTGCTAGCGCGCCTAACACTAATACACTCACTTCTGCATTTGCACACAAAAGCGCACATCACTTCTACCTCTGCCCTTCCTAAATCCATTAGACTAGCGGTGCAAACGTGTAACCACCGCGACGAAAAAGCGGCAAACAACTTCGGCTTCCAAATATGGAATATACTTTGCAAGCACATGTACGCTATACGTATCACCTTATTGCAACACAACTCTTCATATTTGAGATGATGCGAAAGCGACTCCGCTACAACAACAAGTCAGCTAGGTTACCAAGGCTTTTATGGAAAGTCAAAGATGGTTTGCCATTCAGTGTGGGAGATGCGGTAACGGCATTACTGTGCATAACCACGTATGATTTGTATCAATCGCAAATAATTCTAGCCATGCAACTATACCTAAAACTTGGCAAAGCATATTTGATAGCATGTATTATTTTGTTGAGCTCAATAATTATTTTCTTTTTTCACTGACGAAAGTCAAACACGATCTTGTCATCATCTCCACCAGCATCTACTTGGTAAAAGCGCGATCTGTAAGAATTCAAGTACCACAGACATTGAATGGCCGGTACACGTACCGAAGGGCCAGAATAGAGTAACTCATGAGTCTTATATTAAAATCCGTGAAAGTCGCCTCGTTTGCCGCACCCTACATTTTTCAAAGGGATTGGTGAAAGGCTGTGTCATTTTCTGAGCTGCTTGACAAGGTTGGACAGGCTAATCCACTTTCCAAGGCTCCTTCCGTACAACAGCGCTAGCAGATTCACATTGATATTAATCATTGCAGAATTTGCTTACAGACCATTCCTTCATAAAAGACAAGAAGAAAATTAAATGGCGATAACGATACAACAGTCTGTGTTAAAATGCAGCGAATTCAAGCGCATGTATCCATCACTGTTCGTAAGTATATGCTGTGGATGTTCACATCTGATTCTTCATGCTGTATGCCACCATGGACGGATATGCGGCTGAAACGGATTGCGCATAGCATGGTGCGATGAAAACAGCTGCGTTACCAATTTTTTCAATATTGTTTGTGCACAAGTAGTTCTTGGTGCCTGTTCCAACATTTTGAAGTCATTGTTGCCTGGATTAAGATTCTGCAGTAAGAGGGATACTCATCTTTCTCATGAGCAGTTGTTAATATTAATCAGCTTAGTCAACATCACTGAGCATGCTGTCTTGCATCACATCCTGACTGAGCGCTTATGTCAAATTTATGACTTTATTCTCCTTATCATAAGCTTGCTCAATTTGCCACATGCCACTACTTAAGGCAACAAAGTCCGCGCCGAGTTGGTAGATGTACCATCTCATACCGACTTTCCTTCGAGTTTCACACAAAAAGGTGTGTGAAGTCAGAAATGTTCCTTGGTAAGGATTTTTGTCGCTTGACATAACTGATTGTTTGATCAGAAAGTTAACGTAATGACGCGCTGTCCCTTCAATGGGCAAGACGCGATGTGGGTCACTTGGCTTCACATCGTGACATTCCTTAAAATCGATACGATCCTTGAGTACAGCCGTATCTTTTCCGCGCTTGGTGTTCGGCTAGCCACTCAAATAACAATCACATTTATTTTGGATGTGATCCCAGCTTCTCCTTTAATTATTTTTGTAGTTTTGCCCGCTTGCGATCACTTGCAAACATTTTATAGGAGTAGCTCTTCAGAATCAATGCGAGATTCAAACGCAGACAATGACTTTCCCGTGCCTATCCTGGTCACTTCAATCATGGCTGAATATACTCTTTTGCCATCAACCCGAATGTTCCACTTTAAATATGGAACGTGCGTCACACAATGGTGTGGCCTTGGCGTGAAAGAAATATAGATAGAATCTCTTTATAACGTCCGGGTCTGGGCCTTTCACTTGCAAATTTTTGTCGCCTGTCTCCAGTGACTCTAGCGCAGGTCATTGTAACGTGCAGTTGCCCTTTCACATTGTCACCAGTGCTAATGCGTAATACGCCATTTAAAGGTCGTGTCGACACGCTCATCCAATTTACACTTCGAAACCAGGTCATAATGTCATATATTCCTGACCCGATCTATATTTTTCTGGTGACCGTCTGTCTTATATAATAATGCGCCAACACTTTCCAAGCCTTGCTTGAGGTACTTAGAAACACCACTGGGTATCGATTTAGTCCGCCCCATGCCCTGCACTGAAGCTATAGCATCTCCTGTTTGATCCTCAAACACTCCTGTCCTAATAGAGTGAGCTCGGAACTTGTCAAAGCTCTATTAGGGGAGACATAGTGTCACTATCTCTTAGCTTCGTGTCAATCTACGGCTAAAATTGCCTACGCCACGAAAACTCATGATGACATTGTATCTCAAATACAATTCTAGATCAGACGCCGTTTACGCTGGTCTATAATTCTGGGCTTGAAAGAAAGAAAAACAATTATTTTAGATGTTTTCATCGAATGACGCATGCGAACTGTCCAATGATTAGAATAGATAAGTCTTCTGCATATGGTATACGGTTATCGACTGTCGCACGTGATGTATCTACCAGTACATGGCCTTACTAAACCTGGACAGTTGATATTGACAATTTTTAGCCCGAGCTGTGATCACCACCTGCTTTTATAAGAGATTGGCCTCAAACTACACAAGGCTGCATAGAGCTTTTCGAAGACCGATAAATGCCTACTGGAAACCAACATTTTACGCGAAGGGTTTGGCTGTCAGATTTTTGTGGTAACTTGATTCTATTTCTCAGCGAGGAAAAGAAAGGTACACGGTGCACAGATATATTTTTTTTTACAGATGTAACATCTGCTAACATTTCAGTAAGGCTGGGTCCATTTCCTCTGACAGTTCGCAATTCTCACAGCTCTTGTGCATCAATTGGCCGTCGCAGCATGGAAGATGCACCCAAACACCTACCACATTAACGAACGAGGTTGTATGAATACGGAATAACTCGGTGCGATTGCATCTGTTCAGTTACACTTCATCGCCGCGTCAATATGATGCGCCTAGGTAATTCAAGCAAGCCGGGGCCTGGAAACTATGGGAGGCTCTAACTACCTAAAACACTGTATTATGCTTATGAGTTTGGAAGCCATTCAATCGACAAAAATTTGATGCGAGAAGGCAAATTGCGTCCGAACTAAAGGCTGTTTAGCACCTGTCTCTATTCAGCAGAAGCCTCAAGGTCACTTTGAAGGAATTATAAGTAAATTTTATTGTTTTATCGAGACTAGGTGCTCAGCGTATCTTGGAGCTGAAAGCTTGAAAAATATTTATCGACGATAAAGCCCTTAGATTAGTTCTTTTCAAAGTTGAACGCTTGGTGAAAAAAATCCAGTAAAGTGTTTGACTCATAGCATCAATCGAATTAGCAAAATATGTCGCACGTATCACCAACTATATATTCAAGGCACAAAGCATTGTTCGGTATATGATTGACATGTAAATGTCAGTAAATCTATACTGATAAGTATACAAGACAGTGACATTCTGCACTAAGATGAACACCTGCCATATCCTTATGAACATCACACATAACCGTACATTGTTTGGTCTATTGTTTCTGTCATGTGCGTTGACAGAGGCAACAGATCCACCTTCGTGAATGAAGGCCTATAACAGAGAAGGTCTACCACCACCGCGGCAATGAGTTCGCAACTATCGGACACAGTCAGCTAATTATCGCCTTTTTGACGGTCGGGCATGAAATCAAACGCACATTCTACACCTGATTGGGAAGGGCGTGCCCACAACATATATCACTTCAGCACTTTTCACGTGGAGGATGTCTTCTCTGCTGAGTAGCTACAAAGAGTGCCCATTTGTGCACGCTGCTAGCTCGCGACCACTATCGTGACATGCAGTATATCCGTTTGGCGCAGGCATTTATTGTCATCTCAACTTCTCCCACCATAAGCATTAATTCTTTCGGCTTTGCCTCGAATATCCGATGCTTGACATCAGTGAGCTCATGGACGGAAGCAGATGTGCTGTCACCACACTCGCTAGGTGTGTAGTTGGTAATTGCTTCAAGCGAGCAATCAAGACTTCCAGCCCTCCGCCGCCAATCACCCCAAAAGCCTAGAAAGGCACGAGCGTAAAGTGTGTAAAAGGACATTATCCATCTTCACAAAGAATACAGTCTGGCAAGATTGGTTGTCATATTGACGACAAATGCTACCAAATGCAACGGGTTGCCTAGCACCTTGCACAGATAAAACATTGATTCGGAGAGTCCACATTAGAGACGTATAAAATATCAGCTCTTATGCTCCGCCCAGAAGCGAAATCAGGATCCTTCGAGCTAACTAGGTACAATTCTAGCGTTTGCCAAATGTGATATGTACTAAAAGCTAGACCTCATTTAAGCTAATACTAAATATATATGTTTATTGTGCACAGGATGATTACATGAGGGTAACAGCCACCACTAGATCCGGGTCGATTATCTTCATCAGTACCAGAACTTTGTTACGTCTAAGTTTTGCACAATAATGCAACGTGTATGCTCACTTCGTACCCCGTTACAATTTGGTCTTAAATATCAGGGTTTTAAGATATGCGAAACCGGTACTAGTTGATTGGAATTGAAAAAGGATTTATGGAGCATCTTCCTATGCCAATCGTCTTGTCTATTGTAGCGTTCGCCGTGCGCGACTACAGCAAAGAAACCCATAAATATGCTCTATCAAGTCTTAAGCCGCTTGCGCTGGTATGCAGGTCGTGGCACATCCTCGTTCGCGAGATTGTGGCCCGCTATCAATGCTCTACTTTAACACTAAAGTTCTACTCAGGTTCATTTTCGGAATATATGACACAACGTCGTCGAGTTACCGAGAGAGGTCCTCAAATTAAGGAGTTGAACATTCGGATGGGGGAAGCACCGGCACGGGGATTAGGAATGACATTTTTGTCGACTTGGAAGCAAAAAGATATTCGAATCGATTGGGACGTAATATTTTTTCGACTTCCCGCATTACGAAGATTGGATCTGTCTGGTGTGCAATTATTTAGTGGACAAGTGGAGCAGATTCTCACATCTGCAGCGAAGTACTGCAAAAATGTTGTCACATTAGTGCTGGCCACGGTTGATGAAACGCTGCAAGATCGAGTGAACTTTGAATCAATTTTTAGCGCATTGTACAAGGCACTCCAAATCTGGTATTTTGAAGGTACTTGCAGGGGCTTAAAACGATTGACAGTTCCGATACTTGATGAGAACAACCGGTTAGAAGCTTATCGCAGGCATTTTGACAACATAATCAAATTTTGTCCCGAACTTAAGTATCTGGATGGATACAAAAAAACTCTGTGTGAAATATACCAGTTGACGTGCCGCGATAATTGGTCGATTTCAGTGGACCAGTGGGAGGAGTTTAATGCCACGTGTTCGCAGTTGCGGGAATTTCATTGGATAGTAGTTCCGTTTGCTGATCAGTTTTTCAAAGTATTTGGCGAGCACATCAAGCCTCACCTGAAGAAACTCACTTTTGCTGTAAATATGACGTGCAATTGGGAGGAGTATTCAAACTCGCTGGAAATAGCTGGTGAGACAGAGGCATTTTTGGCCTTGCAAAGCTTCTCGCAACCACCAGGGTATGGAAGGAAAGCGATTGCTGTAAGCAGTGCCTTAAAAGGGTGTCCGTCGCTAAACGACTTGTCAGTTGAGCTGTATCATCCCGTTAATGAAGGTGCTGTAAGTGACGATAATCCACTTGAGCTTTTAGATTATGAGGGTTGTAACATTGACATATATGACGACAACTTCTGCGAAACTCTTGCAAAACACTGTCCATGGGTGACAAAGTTTGTTATCCGGGAAGTTTTGGAGAATCCCGATACCCAATTTACACCAATTCGAACGTTTACAGATAAGGGACTTGTCGCACTCGCCAAATTAAAATACTTGACGTCTTTGGAGCTACGCACAATTAATTGCACTGGTAAAGGCCTTTTCGACTTTCTTGATAGATTATCCGATGAATTTTTGGGACAGCGAACACTTCAAATCTGTCTCGGTGGTCATCACAGTGAATATCAACTCGCATTCTATCACGCCATGATAGAAGTTTTGACGCAACTAGAAAGGAGAAGTCCAACAGAACTTGAGTGGAGACGTCACAAATTTGTTTTGCGTTTGATAAATTCCAATTTTGACTCTATCCGACCAGACTGGAGCGAGCAATTCTTTGTTAAATTGACATGTGTGGTTGAACGCGTACAAAAAATTCACCCAACATTGCGACTTCGAATTGCGATTATTGGACGTCAAGGCAGTACATTTAAGAAAATCAGTGAATTTGGGCTGTACACGTCTGATGCCAAGCCGAGTTTGTGGTTTGACTGGCATGAAGATGAAGCCGATGACTCTCCATTTTTTAATCGTCGAAAATTACTTGATGAATCAATTCCATTCGACTACCCTGAGGACTATTATCATGATCCGTATAGTGGATACGAAGATTTTCAGGACTACTATGTAAGTGATGGCTCCAGCGATGGATTTGACGACAGCGATGATGATGCTTATGATGATGAAAATATGGACGACTTTTGAGTTATTGTTTTTTAAACGTAGATTTTAATCTATGTTTGATTGTCGGTGGTCTTCAAATTATTAGTTTGTGGAAGATCTGTAATTACGAGTTTTGTCGTGGATATTGTCGAGTCGCGTCCACGTATACCAGATGTAGAGATCGTCTTGACAAAATGGCGCATTCAAGGCGAAAAAATGTCAGTGCAACACTTAACGCGTGTTTTTGCCTCTGACGATTGTCCAATTACAATGGTGAGTGGTATCGAACGCAATTAAATCGTCGAAAGTAACGTTCACAGTCACTACGTGCGTTGTGTTTGAAAACCTTCGAATAGTTGGGCAATGTCATCGCTGGGATCAAGTTGGCGTTTTCAAAAGACTCTTTGGCAACAAATTTTCTCCTAGTGTACTGGAATATAACTGGTTATTGACGAGGAAGTTGCCGCGGGACGCAAGCAACCACTTAAAGTGTGAGAGACAAATATCAAAGCCTCTTCCTCCGTTACTTTGACTTTGACGACTTCAAGCAAGACACTCGGAGTGGCATCGAAAATTACGGGGAATCTACAGCTCTTTTAATGGTTGATCCCTCAATAGTCCTCGCGTACCCCAGCAACAAGCAGTTGCAGATGAAGTGAAAGCGAGAAACGTAAGAAGCGACCTTGACTTTTAATAGCTTTTATAATTCTCAATTTGTGTTTGTCAATTCCACACATAACCAACCTGGAGGTGATGCAACGTATATTAAAATACTTACTTCTTTCGTCGTACCAATCAAAACGAACGCTTTTATCAGCATGTGAGGAAAGTGCGACGGGGTTGGTGAGTACTTTTCACAGAAAGTTCTTGATTCTCAGAGTCCGCGATATAGAGGCGGTCATCTTTCGAATGTAAAGCTGACAGTTTGTGATGTAATGGCGTGTTTTTCAGAAACCATAGCTAACATAATTTGTTGCTAGATATATCTGTTACTATAGTTATGATGGAGCCTTTTTATTGTGTGAGGCTAACAGCTCGCCTGCCTGATTAAGGCTTCTACTTCTTTTTATGTTAACACATATCCCGTTCTGATGGTGAATAGCCAACATACTTCACCATGAACAACAGTTTGTAACGAATAGAAAGGTTACACCTTAATACGAACTAAAGATCCCCAGTGCGACCATAATCATTAATTTGCATTTAGTGATGTTTGTGACAGAACATTCTAAAGGAAAGCTTAAAGGAGTCCCTGTACCGGGTGTTTAACCAAATCACGCTCTACTGGTTCAGATTCTACGAGAACCATTCATGCCAAGAGGATTCTTCTTTCGTTGCCTCTCGTATTTGATGGCTTGACGTGCCGAAAAGAGAGGCGTCTTCGACCTTACGTTCTATACTAGAACCAGTATGAATGTAGCGGATCGCCATCCGCTAACTCCAAGAGTACTCACAACATTAACCCAAGGCAAATTTAACTCTTCCGCTCTAAAATCCAAACTCTATTTCTTTCGTTTTATTTGCGCCAGGGCCGCCTTATTTTAGCTAACTGGTAAAACCTTATTAAATGCATAACAATTGGCAAACCCGCCACGTAGTGGCTTCTTGTTAACGTGTAGCCACTCCATCCTGTGATCACACCATCTGGTCATGATGAAAAATGTTTTGCAGTGTCTCACCGAATCCCGATGACCGGCTGCGATATCTCAGCAGATTTCACGAACGTGCCCTTTCCTGTAATCCCCAAGGCTTCAAAGATTCGTCAACGTATAAAATTCGTCTCCGTGTTCCTTTTTACCGCAAGTCGCCGTTCCCCAAAAGCGAAATGTATCTATAGACTGTGCCACGAAGTCTAATTTATTTTGAAAGGAGTAAACCCGGCCCAGCGAGCCAAAAATGATCATCTGTAAGCGCAGCAGTCGCAATAGAGTCCAGCAAACTTACATCAGACGAAATCACGTCGAGATAGATTCCATCGAGTTGATCCGACCAAGGTATTCTCACCGCGCCAAAACTGTGCCTTGAGACACTGTGCGTGAAGATCTGTAGCTCATTTATAGAGCGAAACGTGTGCCCAAATTTTGCTCCGTGGGCGATTCCAGATCCCCAGGTACGGCTTCTTAAGGTTGCAGGCACAAAATGTACGAAAATCTCCGCCAAGACAAACCTCCAGCTTAACCAGCTTATGCCAACTATTGGTGTTGGTGGGATTAGAGACCTGACGACAAAAGGGTCAAATTCGATTATTGCTCAACTCGATACATTAACAAGCAATTATTTGACGCCTTCAACCCTTTAAAAGAAGAGATTTGATATTGCGATGAACTCAACACGCTGTAAACGCAGATGACGGCAATTCGACCTTCTAGCCTTAAAGCTAGGAGACCGCACAAGAAAATGACATTAGCATGCAGCATCATTGTGAAGCAGCTTTCAAATATTCAACGAATTGGAGCGACAGATGTTGTGGGTGTTTTCACTACCCAGTCAGAACTTTGGGCTCAATCAAAATTTTTTTTCATCCGCCAAAGCACGAAATTTGTCTCAGAGCTAATATGCTTATCGCTGCAGCGGCATTAGATCCTCGTTTGGAGGCGGTAACGACTGTCATCTGTATGTTTAGGCTTTAAGCAGTTGCGGGTTGCATGGAGATCCTCCGCATCAGCTCCATCACTTTCGAAGAAGCGGTGATAGTCGCATTCAGATTGCGCTCAACTTCCGTATCGTGGGGGCAGACAGGAGTGCTGAAAGTGAAAAATGCACGGGCACACCAACGGCGATGGATATTAGCACATTTGAGAAAAAGCAAATTGCTCCGCAGTACCCGCAGTACCCGCAGTAGTCCCGTTAAATGTAACACGAAAATATTGAGTCTTGTATGCACCTGTCAATCTTGGCTGAGAGGTGCAAAAAGTCTAGCTCCCACGCAATGTCGAATGATGCACCCATCAAGAAAATTGTGAAGTCTCTGAATGCGCAAAGCGGTTCCCACCAAAATAAATCGGTTTTATGGTACCTCGTAAGGGTCATGGTCAATGGTCCTCAACCCTATAGGAACGGCTCTCCATACGAAAGGTGAAGTAAATACTCCGGCGTGGTCCGATGTTGCTATTGATGTCCTGTGCTTTATGAAGCTTTATAAATTATAGATTTTGGAACGTCATCTTATAAAAGCAGATGACGGTAAATAAATTTATTGAAGATACGAATACGAAAATCGTAAATCTTGCACTTGTAAAATTGTCAAATTGATAGAGATTTCAGCTCGTATAGAGCATGTTACTTTGAGTCATCGGACAACTTGAAGTTAATAGGGATGGGCGCCGCGCACCCCTCTATAGGTACGCATTATCTCACCTCTGCCCGAAAAGCGAAGCACTTTTGGCATGGACATTATTTTTTGATAACTTTCACGCAGGACAGGAGACAATTTGAAGTTACAGCAATCGTATTGCTTCGTGCCTTGAGCAGTGCTTGGAAAGCAGAAGCGGCACTAAGCTGCAAACCCTATATAATATGCAACTGTATGTCGTGTTACCCAAAATGTATCCAAAGTATGACGGTAGGGAACAGGTTGCGGCTGCTGTCTACTGTTTCAGGGGCAGCGATATAAAGGCAACTGTACTTTGCAATCAGAAAGGCTGAATCTTGAAGCTAAGAACGATATTTTATATTGTCGCGCTGTAACGAGATTTTTTAATCAGCAGTAACGTGTGATGGGCCTACCGAGCGAAGCAATGACTATCAATAGGCAAATGACAAGTAAGATGGTTTACTCGTGAATGAGTGATTGGGGTAGACCTATGAGCTGTAAGACTTCCCGCACTAAGTCCAAACAAAGCTCTTATTAAGCTAGAAAAAAGAATTATCCCTAAGTATATGTGTACGATAGTTCAGAACCGAAAGAGTCGGTTGGTGTCAGAGGAATAGACGGCTCTGTTATCTTTCTGAATTTAGCATAGCGGACACTTGCAGAGCCCTTCATGTAGGGGTGATGCTGCCATCTTCAATGATCATACAGATCCCTACTATTTTTACTAAAGCGTTATCTCGATGTAGAAATCACGGGTCCACCACGGGTGGATCGGGCATATGATGTGGTTTTCAAAATTAAGCAATGCGTGAAAGGTCAATTACCCTTAACAAATTACAAGCGTGACCTGGATGACGCTTTCTTTCGCGCGAAGCACATAACAAGTTTAGTAAGAGGAAGTAATCAATCAGCACTGTCAAAATAAAGACAAACTGTGCATGCTTATCATGGCACTATTCAAGCGCAAAAGCTGATTTTTAAAGAAGCCGTGCGGCAGAACAGTAAGATCGGTGGCGCTGTATTTAATGATCTTTACCTAGTTGTTGATTTTCGTCAAATGCTTATGAAAGATGGCAATATTTGTCCCCACGATGAAAATTTCGATTGAGATTTCCAGGGAGTGGCTGGTCATTTCCACAGGAATTGTTTAATGCACAAGCGAAGTCCGATCATCTGGTGATGAAGATTTTCTAATACATCGTGGAAATAACAAAAGTAATTTGACAAAACAGTCCTTTACCTAACCGATCATTTGTGAGCGGACCTTGAGTTCATGCGCTTAAATAATCTATTTGGTAATTGTAACTTTGGCGACATTTCATGGACTGCATCACTAAAAAACACGGCTAGCGGGCAGATCTCGGCAAGTAAAATGTCATCGTGGATTGGCCAGTGCTTTTTAAATGACGAGAGAAATAGGTATGATCCACGATTATACAGCGACGACTATTGGCCAATCGCGGCCCAGTACAGCGCAAACTATGCTGTCATGTATCGACCCCTACCAATAAATTAAAAACGTCAAGTGGCACTAGGGTATGGTAGAAGTGGCGACCCTCTAGTCTATGAAACACAGTCTGTGAGTTCTTTGTTATGGTTTAACCGATTTAAATTCAGCCAGTCTATGTCGTCGGCTACGCTTCAGCCTTTGCCATATGCTGCGCTTTACTCTATAAAAATGTTAATGAGTATGAAGGTGTAATCACATTTGAGCCTCACCAGCCTTAAGCTCTTAAAAGGAATTTCCGCGATCATGACAAGAAGATACTTGCAATGAAGTATGCTTCACCACATCTCGCACAGAGAGTCGCCATACGTCTAATCTTCTTTGCTAAGTGCACCTTTGAGGTAAGGTATAAGTCAGTTCGACCAAATTAGGTGTTGAATGTGCTATTGCGTAGCCCAGATTTACTCAGTCGCATGTCACCGTTGTCATACTAAGAAGTTGATAGAGCGATTCGTATTGTTTTGGCTCAGATGCAACTGTTGTGCTTTACTAAACGATGCGGAAGAGAAGAGAATTAAGAGCTCAGATGCCGCTTTATAAAAACTCTCAGTTACCAGCCTCCATCGAAATACTTTATCCTGTATTGCACCACTGATCTACATGACACTATGCGCATAAATATATGTGCCTACAGTTCGCGATACAGTATATAGCATACAGTACCCACTTCAGACCGACCCCTAAAAAGATAGAAGACATATTGCTTGGTGAGCACTATGTATAGATGATTTAGCATGTATAGATTTGCAAGCTGACATATGCACCAGTGTGAAACGTCTCAACAAGTCAAACCCATGCCACAACGGCAGCATTGTTCGCCAACCAGAATGCTGGCTTATGTAATAAAATATTATTTTCTGTTTTTTCGAGGAAAAAGTCGGCATTGTGGTCTTTGTGTTCTGTCTATACAAGCTAGCTCATCTCACTGCTGACATCTATAAAGTGTCCAAAGTGGCTCAAGCCAAGCAGTTCCTCTTCAAAATGTTTCGACAACATGGCTTGACAATTACTGTCGTATAAAGAGAGATTTTTGCTTTACAGCAAAGTTTCGGCAGATATTATTTAGGTGCTCGACCCCAGGTTCGGTTTGTCAATCTCTGGCCATTCGCAAACAAATGGTCAGACAGAATGGCCAAAACGTGATTTAAACGATACCGTGAGGGGGTAACACGCACCCTGGTATGAATGTGCGGGTCACACAAGATGGTGTGACCGTAAAAAGGTGTGGGCTACACAAGACCGTGTAATCACACAATGGTGTGGCTACGGCGTAGCAAAGAGCCGCTATTTGGTGAAATTGCCAGTATTTATGCATATTAATAGGTTCAACTTTTTAATTAGGAGAACCTAGAGAGTTTGATAAAGGCGGCTTTGCTGAAAAAAATCAGATAAATACAGTTTTAGTTTTGTACGGGAGAGTACATTTGCCTTGGATTAGGGTTTCGGGTACTCTTGGGGGTAGCGGATTGCGATCCGCTACACTCGTACTGGTTCTTGTATAGAACGAAGGTATGTAACCTTCTTTGAGCAAAGAGCTACGGCAGCCCCACTGCAGATACTCTCTGAATATTTGCGCGGAAAATCGCAATACAGGGGCGAGTTGCTCTCACTTGTGGAATAAGCGCTTGATAACTCTTGACCTTCCTCGACAAGCTTTCCTCAATTTTACAATAACGTATGGAGAATTTCTGGGTGCCTTTGACCATGCCACGTTGTCGGTACGGTATTATGGGGGCTGTCAATTAAAATCAGCTTGGTGATATCTGCCCGGCAACATTTCGTAACAAATTCCTAATTCCATCTCAATGATATTGAGCGTCATGCACCGGAAGGCGAATACTATGGATGAGGGAGGACCAAGCAAATCGAAGTATCACCAGGCGTGAAAGGCGGGCAAACATAAACAAATACGATGTGGAAAAAGATTGTATTAAACTCTGTCCACCTTAGCCACACATTAAGATACTGCGTTGATATGACAAAGTTGCGACCGCGCTATCTCAGACTATTCACAAATGCAAAAAATGAGACTGCGTTGTACTGCAAACAGTCCAAAAAGAATACGAACACATATTGTTTTCAATGTAAGGTTTCTGACACCAGCCACAATTTGAGCCGGTCGGATGTTTAGTCTTCCAACGGGTACAAAGTAACATCGTAATTATCCTCTGTAGCTCAGCTACTTTCTTATCAATAGTAGCGGCACAATTATGGGTCGTTTGAGATCCTTAAAGACTCAATGCGGTGGCATATCCTATACAGAATATGACATATTCAGTATCCGCTGCAGGTAGACACCCTCGATCGGAACCCACGTGTGGTGATAACGAATGAATGCGGCACACTTTAACCAGACGGAAGACAGAGGATCATTGCCGCTAGAATTGCTCGACGGGCGTGGAGTGACTCACTTTTTTATGGAGTGGATGGTTGGAGCTTGACGCACTAAATCAGATCTAGCTCTCTGCTGACGAGCCATTAGTCATTTAATGCTGCTCAGCGGTAGTTGTCAAAATACTTCCCGCCTTTGGGTACAAACACGAAGTGGCCAACTTGAGCAGAAATTACAAATTCTCAGAGATTGTCTTGACCGTAAATCTGTTGGTGAGGGCAACAGTGTCGAGTTAAGGTTCGGAGAGTCATTTTACTGTTGCCACCCAATATAACTTTGGCCCACACCGAGAATAGCCGTACCTTTGTCCGTTCGTCTTTCTCACGTCTTGTTAAGTCAGTTACAGAGGTCTGTCCATGAAAGTTTACTCAAGAGGGCAAACATAAAAATGTGCAAAGAGAAGAGGAGAATTTCTGGTGCTGTTAAAGCCCGAAAAGCGTCCACTCTTGTACAATGCCCATGTATAAGTGTGAGATGCCATGCAGATGGGAATAGAGAACATTCGTATTATCATAGATTACACATGATGCCATTGTTCAAATCTCAAAATATTAACTGATAAAAACACTGATACTCATGAAGGATAAGTTCATGGAATACATGGCTTCTACTTTCACATTATGCAAGTATTGGGTCAAATTAGACTTTATTCTAAATATTTGTCTTCCTTCATTTAGATGCAAACCGTGTATCAAGGCACTTGAGATGCTCTTGGTTTCGTATATGGGTTCTGTAAAAGGTGTATGTCACCACCGTTGCATTGTAGGATGTGTGCAAGTAAGTGCAAGACAGTCAAAACGCCGAACTGATACATTTCGAACATGAGGAGGAGCCGAGCTCATCATCCGTCATGAATGATTCAATTTTTGATAGCACAAGTGCGATGAAATGGACGGAAGCCTTCGGATTGCCTTTACATGTGATAAAGAAATCTTACCACGCGCGTAGCCCCCGCGTAGCTGCAAAGGTAATTTTTAAATATAACTAATCTTGGATAAATGATTGCATCACAAGACAATGAATCTTGTAGAGAGACAGCGTGAGATATTTACGCATTTGTCCACCAGTAGTACAAAGCGAATTTGGGTACTCGGCGACGACTCTCCGCGTCGAATGTAGGTAATGACATCAATAAATTTGCTAAGAGTGCCATATCAAAGGCGTTGGGATAAACTGTTTGCGGACATAAACAATTGTGTCTTTGTCGCCGACAAATTCCGTTTTTAGGATGCTTCATTAGGAAGCATAGTCTGCGAGCTAATATTGCAAATTTCAGAACCATAGTGATGTGGCCAATCTATCATGTCGTTACCAGAAAACGACTTGGCTTGGCTAACTATTTGTACAAGTATTTTGCAGAGTACGCCAACCTATACGACCTCTCAAGTTCAAAAAAACATTAGCGGATTTTTGAGTGTAACACTTAACATTATCATTGTGCTCTAAATTAAATAGCTTAATTTTTAGTGGTAATTTTTTATTAATTTCAATCCCTTCGTGACCAATTAATCAGACAAGTAAGTGCCCCGCCTTGACCAACTTAATAGTCGAGTAAGTTTGCTGCTTTTCGCCATCGTGCAACCAACGCAGACCCTCACCGTCTTCTGTCGACCACTAGCAAACCGGACTACCTCTAGATGACGACAAGCATGGCAAATGGCGTCACCGCACGACATACAGTTATATCGCCGGGTATCAAGTAGTTTGACGGCACCAAAATGTTTACTACAACACTGGCAAAATTCGACTTTTCGCTTATCAGTCCATTGAGATTTCGGTACAAAGGTACTTGGGTCAAGTCGTTGTCGATGACGGAGATGCTCAATGATACGGCTGAGAACCTGAGCAAACCGTGGCATATAATAGCGCGTTGTAAGCCGTGGAGCAAGTCCTCCAGCCTCAATGCCAACGATGTAGACAATTTTCGTCAAAGCTCCGGGTTTGCCTGAATTTTGAGCGAAGTACCCCGAGCGGAACATACGCGTCCGGATAAATCCTGGTGGTACAACCAATTCGGCCATATCAGAGAGATTAAGTGAGTCCCAAACGCAGTAGCCTATTTTTGATCCGTCAGGGAATTTCACGACGTCCGTTGATACAACAACGCACATATCACGATGTTTGCGCTGTAGACATCTCGTCTTAAATGCAGTGTAGCGAATATAAGCCGAGCGCATGGGGAAGTCACTCGACGGATGCTCTAGCACTGTCAAGATTTTGGCGTCCAGAATGTTGTCGTACATTATGCGGCACCGTTGTAGCAGCATGTCAGTGTCGGAGACGACAAAAAGCTTTATCACCTCATCCACTGAGGCTTCAGTACTATCAACGCAACAAAAGCGAGTCTGCTTTTTCGTCACACTCTCTCTGTCTTCGTAGAAAATGATGCTGTCCTTGCGCATTGTAGCGCGCCAGTATACATCTTCAGTGCTTTCGTTAATCATACTATCCAAAACATCCTCTACTGCCGTCGCAATTTGTCTTCTTAGTACATTTTTCACGTCACTTCGTAGCTCTAGCTGATCCGGAATCTCACCAGGAAGTGAAATACGATCCGCGCCAAAACTTGACATGGACGATGTGGATGTGAAGTGTTGAGGCAGCCGAGGCTTTTTGTTGTGCGAATTTGGCATTTTAACTTAGTACAATGACTTGAGCCTTGATCTGAGTGATGAGCCGGAAATTAAAGTGTGCGAGGTAAACTCGTACTATCTGTTATATTGCGACGTCGTGTTTCTAAAAGATGTTAGGAGCTACTACTGATAATTTCTTGAAGATACAGTGCTGCCCACGGGACGTGCCCCATCTATCGCGACTTTATTTTTTCGTAGCTTCCATGCGTCGGCATCACCAGAGATTTGTTGACACTGCAGTTCCCAACTAACAGGACTCAGATGCTAAGTTGCAAAGAGAAAATAAAGCACAAGTGACCCTTCCTGTGTAAGTAACATTTATCAATCTAAGAATTAGTTTGCGAAAGATCGATTGTAAGCGAGCGAGACCTTTACTTCGGCTTACTCTATTACGTTGGGGTTGTATCTTCGCTGAAATGCAGCTTATGTACATATGCGACACTAAATGTGATTCGATAGATTAATTTATCTAATGGATTCTGCGGACATGTTGTCGATAGCTTGCTCCTGACAGGTCAAGTGCACATCTCGATGACGGATTGCTCATGAAGAGCAATCCTTCTGCTTATTCCTAAGGAGTTCTAGTGTTATTTTGCAAAGCCACTTCATTTATGCAGATTTACGTGAAGTCATCTTTGACCAGAATGATCAATAATCATTGAGAGCACTTTAAAATTAAATAATGATACAATCTACTTATTCATCCTGATGAAGAATGGGCGTCATCATTGAACTTCTGCAGCATCTGGTTCGACGTGATACTTGTGTGGAACCTCCAGTATGTACTTCTGACAATTATTGTCGAGCTCACAGCCTTAACATTGTTTTAACCAAATTGTATTTTCTCGTGTGGAAGGAACTACAGGGTAGAATTCTTCTGGCCGTTCTGCTTAGTACTTTGTATGCAGGGACAGTTCATCGCATATCTAAGCCACATATGACGACAAACATGGTCGAGCTCGCTCGTGAATAGTGACCGCACTTTGATGTAAATAGCACAACTTTGGAGATAAAACAAATGGTGGAATATGACAGTCACCATGACAGAACTTTGTTCAATGTCTGCACTTCTAATCACAAAGTGATTACGTATGTATATCCACGCAGACGGCATATAATCTTTGGCTACAGACTTTTCCCATGGTTTTAAAACCGGGACAGTAATCTGGCTGTTTCGGTTTCGACACATCTTTACGATATTTGTTTTTTCGTGAGTCGTCAATACAATATTGCTGTATAATATAGATAGAGCTGGACTGTAATTATAATAGCAGGGTGAAACATGGACTTAAAGACTGGATTATCATTTTAAACTTACGTATAACACCAATCGTTTTTTTTCGGATAGTTCGAGAAGTTTTGATATTTATCAGTGTAATAATCAATGCATAGATGTGCTGTTGAAGACTCTAATGTCCAATGGAAAGAAAATATTCACACCGCGGCGATGATTATGTGTGTGTTTGTAGCGATTCTGAGCGATATACAGCTGTAGCTGGACGAGCGTTTTAAGTCGTGTAAAGTCACGCATTAAGTTTCTTCGAGTCCTTGGCCGCAACAATGGCAGTACGCTTGGTCTGAAGTGAGCCCGGGCTGGCTCGTTAATGGCACGCAAGCTAAGATTACATTTTATCGACGTCTTTGTACCACGTCACATTATTCCTTGATTAGATTGTGGCGAACTAGTTGTAGCGGATCCAGATACCATAGTTGCGGACGGATCACACGACGGATCTTTATACTTACCTGCATAAGAGTATATACAAAGGTATAAAAGTTGCTTTAGGAGATGATTACAAGTCTTTGTTCTGTGCAGGGTAGAATTTCAGAAGCTTATATAAGCGTTAAACGACAAAGCGGTTAGGAAGCTAGAGTGAATAGTGACCCGGCAGACCGCCCCTTTAACGCAAGCAAGCGCTTGTGAATGAGCATCTCGTCAATATACAGAATATCACCCGTCGCCGTATCTCATTCTTTGGGTTTAAAGCAAAAAGTAGACCGAGTTCGGTAAATCAGTTTTTTTGCGCTAAACTGACGGGTTCGGCCCCTCTGATGGCTTCGTGTCTAAGGACATGAACGGTTAACATCGTCACAGAGTCGATAATGAGCATTGAGGGTGAGCTAGGCAGCTATTTATAGGTGCAGCAACTGCAAGCATAAACAGACAAAGCGGCACAGTTTTGGTTGAGTGAGGCGTTTGAGAATTATTTGGCCTTAAATCCAGTTTTCTTTTCAGACACCACTCAGCGTAACATTACAGTATCAGAGCGAGGAAAGGCCGGTGCCACACTTAGGGATCCTGCACGCGGCGTCGCAAGGTGAGTGTTGTCATCAAAGAGTCTATAAGAAAGAAACCTACTCTTTTCAATTAGCAACTTGGATTTGAGATACTGCTTTAGACCTTAAATGAACCGCCCTTGTGTAAAGATCTGTCATGAAAATTCCAATGTTAGTCTTTAGAACCTTTGGGGTTTAATTGGCCGGTTAGGCTCTGAAGAAAGCGCAGGTGCTGGGACAAAATCGAGGAATCTTTGCCTTACAGTCGCTACAACAATGTTCGATACATCGTTGTCGAATTCTAGTATTCTAATTCGAGGGCCTACGTAATTTTGCTGGATCGTGTAAAGTCCGATAACCTATCCCAGGAAGTCTCTTACATAGAGCCACGGACGTCGCTAAACTTGTTCTCCAACACCATGACGAACTTAGGTATATCAGGAATTTGAATGAGATCGGTTGTATCGATCAGCAACACAATCTTCTTGGCGCGGCCTATGCGGGACCCACGTCTGTAATCAGCAGTTGAGCGGATGTTAAAATCGTGGATTCCGGGTTTCAAAACATTCTCCCACAACTATAGCAGGTCTTCAGAGGACTTGTCTGTCCACTTTCAAGCACTGACACGGTTAAATATGATCATCAAATTCCAAGTGGAGAAAGCATTGTCAATATTTTAGTTGAAGGATATACTCCGAATAACCGAAAACAAATCGTCTTAGATGTGGTATTCGATTATTATCAATATGGGCAAAGCCCTAAAATATCCACAGCCCCGCTATAATGACTTCAGATCCTAAACAAAATTCTGAACGGCTGCAAACACTTTATTTTAGTCATCGACTTGTGGACCCTGCCACTGTACGGCGTACGACGCAACACAATTCCGATGTGGTGAAAACAAGAAATTATGATGTGAATTGAAGAATTAAGCGGGAGAACTATTGTCATTGTCAATGGTTAGTTTTGCTATGGAAAGTGTTGGTGACCATGTGCAGAAATTAAACAAAACCATCTGCATCTTTCGAGTGGTGGTTGCACACCTGCATCCAAAATACTTTACGATAAGGCAAGCACCTGGATGTTCGACATAAAGAGCTGCCATTTATGTATCTTTCAGCGACGACGATGTCCTACAGGAGAAATTTGCTGCGTCACAGCACTATATTTCGGACTTTATGGCTTGCTACGGCCTCTCACTTTGCCGTTGCAATATAATTACCAATGTGACCGACTAAGTTGTCGTCGAATGAGCGATCAGCTACATGCGATTTCTGCAAGAGAATCTATATACGGCAAATACTCGACCTCACCTCCAGCTGTATCGACGACGATTCCGCTGATACATATGGGCCTACTTAACCAACTACTAATAAAGTGCCTGATTAGAGAAAGAAGCCCAATTTGAGTAAATTTGTCAAAGCACTACCTCAAGCTCTTTGGAAGTCTCACGGTATGTAATGCAATCAGTTTTTATATTATTCTACCAATGATTTTGATAAACACGCCAAACCAGAATCCATTATACTTGGAAGTGGCCCTCGCCATGCGGATCCGGCAGAGAGCAACGTATACGAGGCTGGGCCTAATTGAGTTCTAGCGTTTGCGGCAGGTCGCCTTTTCCCAAAAAGTTTTACGGGCATCTTCTAAAGCATTTTATAGACACTCTTGTGCGCTGCTCCAAGGAAGAACGTCGATCTGAATTTGGAATACTTTAAAAGCTTTGTTTTGTTTATCAGATCGCTTCGCATTCGAGTGGCTCGTCCTGATATCGCTTTGAAAAGCCAATATGTCCTATAGTTTTCGTGGGAATACCCATAGATGATATCAACCTCTTTTTGGCCTTATCAATAGCGGTCAAAATAGCAAGCGTCCATCTTAACATGGCCATGATCCTGCAAGCACCGGATGACTTGATTAGCTACAGCGTTTGATAGATCACTGCCACCAGATCATGTCATTGTGTAAATGTTTAACAATTGTAATGAAAACTCTGTATATCCTGGCTATCAGCCATAGCGTCGCGAACTTGACATATGGCGCTCGGTTTTTCGAAGATGATAGTTTTCGTAATTTTACTACGATGTGTAGTCCGCTGATATCTGCATCTCGATCAGTACCGACAACCTCTCCCACACCAGCCCCAACCATCTCGTGGTTTGAAGGTGATTCTGAGATAAACTAAATCACTTAACAAACATGTCTGTGACGAATGCACTGTTTTTTAGCAAAAGCTTACTGAGTAGTAGCATGTCGCTTCCGCGCCGTGGTTGCTCCGCACAAGTTGTTTAAGTGATACTCAATACAACGCGCGTAATCCCTTTGGTTGACCATCGATTCGCCAATTGTCTACAGTAGACACGTTTCAAGCTCCTCATACAAGTCCGCTTGATTTTATTGTGACGAGACTTAATTCGGGATAGTTGCCGACGACATGCCAGGTTGGCGCTTAGCATACCGAACCATCGCTTGGCCACAACCTTAAAACAATACTGTTGCTGACATCAGCATGATTGACAAAGACCACAATGTCGGTATAACCAGCGTGTCTTTCAATAGATCAGAATCAATGCTAACGAGCCGCCGGAAGTATGTCTGATCCGGCAAGCTGATCAATGACGCCGTCACATTCGACAATAGTCCAACGTACTGACACTTTAGATACGTACAGGCGAAAGGGCTTACTCGTTTGTACATGTTGGGCTGCTAAGGCTTAATTCTTCGAATAATTTTTTTTCATCTGTGGTGGCAATATCATCTGTGCAGCGGCCGCCGTAGCTCTTTTGCTTAACAGAAGCTTGGGTTAGGTCGGTGACCTTCGTTCTATACTCAGGATCAATACGAATGTAGCGGATCGCAATGCACTTATGCCAAGAGTAATCACAACCTTAACCTAAGGCTGTTTAACAGTAACGTCTAACAAAAGCGCTCATTGCGCCTCTGAAACTATGGTTAGGCATGTTTGCAAAGATCTGCAAGACAATATAAATACCAAAATGGTACCGTCGGAACCGTAAAAATGGCTGGTCCATTATTTCGACATTGATGAGTTTGTTGTTGAGTATGTATAGAGCAAGGAGTGCGATGAGTGGAATGGTTAAATTCAAAAGTCAATCGACGCATTTGCCAGAAATCTGTCAGGACATGGTGACAAGAGACCCAAAAGTGCGTCATGAATGATTTAATTCTTGTAACCAATACTGCGTCACAAGACATTGGAACAGTGTGACCTCATTGACGCATTTATCCGTGGAAAACATTAGCGAGTTTCGGTAAAAGTGGATCTACGCACTCCGTATCGAAGCTCTGTATCAGGTAGGAATGACAAGCAGTAGTTTGATATACGCATACATTTCTTCCTCGCATGTGTTTGATGCGAATATTCACGTCACATACATTGAGTATCCGAGTCTGTTGAATTTTAAGCTACCCTTCTTCTAGAATTATCTTAATGCTAAGATGTAAAACTGTACGCCGGCAATGTACTTTACCAAAGATATAGACTTTGCATGTACATAATAAGTATGTACCCATCATCTCGTTGCAAATACCGACTTTACGACACGAAGTAATGCAGAAAGCTTATAATTTAGTACCCTCGATCTGATTATCTGGTATATATATTCTTCCGCGAGAGACAGCATCATATCTATCTCGCTGCAATAAGATCTCTGAGCGGTCTGCTCTGGAATTGGCAGGTTATGCCACAGGAGCTCTCACATGCACTAGTTACGTTGAATCGTCTGGTAATACGGCTGTTCAGGCTACATCGTGGCTGCGAACGGACCTGCTCGATAAGTATGACATAACATTCATTTTCGTGCGACGATTCGCACAGCTATATTGTCACCACAGCTCTCACAGAGGAAGGCAGGATCATTTCTATCTTCTTGGTATACCTTTGGGGTAAGGTGTAGCCGGGTGAACATAATACGGTGGTGTATGTGCTTTCGTGCCGCCCCGACTAAGAATATCCATACCACAAAGGGACGTCGCTATTTGATGAGTGCGATTCATAAAGCATGCGGATGACGCTGCGTAGGTTGCGTTGCTGGTAACCTCGAATGATAAGGGTTTGACACTCATATGTTATTGTATCGAAGCTCAAAGATGTCCGCCTGCTTTGTAAAGGTTCTAACAGCATACATCAATTGTATTGAAATAGTAGAGCTAACTAGAGAGCTAGTTGTTATAAAAGCTCTCGGTTTTACTCTTGCAACTTGTGCCTGATGGTTTTGGATACATATGTGTGCGTGAAAATCGAAATGGACTAAAATCGTTTATTTCAGCGAAATATAGTACAAAAGGAGACAATGGCAAAAAATGAGCTACACAAGAATCTTCTCGGTCATCAGTTGAGGTTTAGAAATGTAAGACGGAATAACATGTGGCACTTAACGTGGCTGCGCCAGTTCATACAAATAAATCGACACTTACAACGGATAAGACCTCGTTGAAGAGCCGGTATTATTGGAAGTAAAGCTTGAGCCCCATCGTGCTGACCAGCGTGACGATTGAGGTCTCTTACGTGATGCTGATTTGCAGCCGACGCAAACATCGACAAACATATTTCGGGCCCCATGCACTTCCACTTCTTCGACATGATGACACGCGTGGCAGATCGCATCACCACAGACCACGCAATTGTATCGTCGAATGTTAAGCACCTTGACGGCTCCAAAGTGTTTGCTGCAACATTGACAGTATTCAGCCTTGCGTTTGTCAGTCCATTCAGATAATGGAGCAAACGTTTTTGGATCCAATTGCTTTTGTTGCAAATGATCAATAACTCGATTAAGTACAGCGCCGAATCGAGGCATGACGTATCGCATTGCTAATCGTGGAGCAACGCTTCCGGCTTCGATGCCTACAAGATAAGCAACTGTCGTCTTAGCTCCCGGGTCTCCAGTACTTTGAACATAGTATCCCGAACGGAACATCTGACTGCGGGTAAAGCCTTGAGGCACTTCACAGTCGGGGTATCCTGGCAAATGAAGTGAATCCCATACGCAGTACCCAACCGTTGATCCATCCGGGCAATGGATGACATCTGTAGCTACCACGACACACATATCACGATTATTGCGCAATAACGCTGGAGTTTTGAAAGCAGTATAGCGGATGTAAGCCGAGCGTTGCGGATGTTCTGTCGAAGGATATTTCAAGACATTTAAAATTCTTGCGTCCATAACGTTGTCATACATGACACGACATCGTTCTAGTAACATGTCAGTGTCTGACACGACAAACAGACTGACGACGTCTTCAACGGGAACGTCCGTAATGCTTACACAACAGAAACGCAATTGTTCCTTGGTCCCAACTTTTTTGTCATCATAATACGCAATGCCGTCCTTATGCATTTTTTTGCTCCATTGAGTGTCTTGAGTACTTTTATGCATCATACTGTCTAGAACGTCTTCGACAGCGGTTGAAACTTGCTGAACCAATAAAGTCTTGACATCGTCCGTTAGATTAATGTTTTGAGTGATTTTCGCTGAAGCTGCGCTTTTAGTGCGACTTGGTATCGGATTCGTCGATTGCATTGATGACTTTCGTGACATTAATGACTTAGCGTTAAGCTTTCGAGATGAAAAGGTGTAGATCAGGTTTTTGCCGTGTCAGTAACAATTTGTCAATAGTCTGCGATGCGGCGTTGAGGGGGGGAATATGACTCAATCAGTCAAAATATGAATGTCGGAATTAGTATGCAGTTGAAGTTCATGTAAATTCAATAAGTATTAAAAGGCAGAATGTAGTATCAGCAATTGATTTTTACTGTGGAATAATAGATAGAAAGATCAAGATATTTCCTAATGAAATGAGGAGAAATGTCACACAAAATGTTTCGAGAAGCAGACGACGTTTCTTAAGAAAAATATAGAACAGCATACTCTATTCTTGACCGACCGAATAAAATATATCCTAATGTAGGGTATCAAGTATGTGGAGAAGTATTTAGTTGCTGAGCCAATAAGATGTGGTGTGTCTTACATGAAGCGTTATGAGTAAAAATAAGCATATTTATTTAGCGGCGCAATAGGTGTGTAAGATTGGAAATGGTAGACGAAAAGAGCTCGAAATATACTTGTTGCGTCAGTTTCCGTGGCCGTTTAATACGCGCATCTCTCGCCAGAATCCCGATCAAGCGCCAACTTTAAATAGACATACGGTTTAAAAACTCCATGTGTTTTTGAATCATGAAAATTAGGTAGA